CTTTGTGGATTGTGTGGCTATTGTCCAATGCCACTACAGATCTTCAAGCTGACTTAGACGATTTAGTTAGATGGGCTCGAGAGTGGGGCTTAGAAATCAATGCTAGGAAGAGTGTACTAATGCACGTCGGTCACGGTAATAGTTATTTATTATGATTATTATTTATTTATTTGAACACATAAATATTGGTACAAGAGAGCGCCAATATATATGCGCCACACAAAACAATGGGAATTCGAAGAGAAGTAGAAAGAAAAAAAAACTAAGGAACGCAAAAGAAAAAGAGAGTAATGACGAAGAGGTACAATCAGAAGAAATCTTTCAGGTAAAGGAGACACAACCACTTTTTATGAAGAAAGTAAAAGAAGGTTACAGCAGGATCGCCACTGGCTTCTATTCTGAGCCATATCTGATAACGTCTCTAGCCACTGTGTTACACAATCTCTCGGACCCCAACCAGGGAGTCGTAAAGGGCCAACACAAGCCAGTCCTTTGCAGCTTTCTTTCATGCCACGACACCATGTCATGCACTGACCACCTCTCCGCTTCTTCCAACCAGTCCCAGAGTCGGCAAATAATGCACGACGTGGAATTCTCTGGGACGACATTCGGAGAACATGTCCAAGCCACCGAAGTCGGTGTTTCAAGATGGTGACACCAATTGAGTTATCATCTCTGTGCCCGAACACACGATGCCGAACCTCTGCATTACTGACATGGTGTTGCCACTGAATGTCAGCAATCCTTCGGAGACAGCGATGATCGAACACAGAGTCGTCTAACGTCCTCAACTCGGAGAGGCCAGGTTTCACAAGCATAGAGCTAAACTGCTCTCACCGACGCGTTGTAGATCCGACCTTTTACAGCCAGACTAACATCACGAAGGCGCCAAAGGTGGCCCAGATTGGCATAAGCCACTCTGGCTTTCACTATCCGTGCATTGATCTCATCACTCACACCCCCACCAGCACTTATGCAGCTACCCAGATACACGAACTTCTCAACTACGTCTATCTGCTCACCGTCCAGGGTGAGTACAGGATTAGAATCCTGCCAGTCTTGTAGAAGTACTTTGCACTTCGAAGGTGCAAAGCACATACCATACCTACGGACACTGATTGCCAACTGATTAAGTGCGGATTGCATGCCTTGGGCATTATCGCACAGTAAGACAATATCGTCCGCATACTCAAGGTCGAGAAGTCTTTCTCCAGGCAACAGATCCACACCACCATTATTTACATTCGTCAGAGCTGTTTCCAGAATGTCATCGATGGCAAAGTTGAAGAGGAATGGTGAGATTGGGCAACCCTGCCTAACCCCACTACTCGAATGGAACAATGGAGAAAGGTGGTTGTATGCCCTCACTCTGCCTGAGGTGTTTTTATATAGGGCTTTTAGGATGTTAATAAACTTCTCAGGCACACCCTTCTTCAATAGACAATCCCAGAGAACAGTTCTGTCCAACGAATCGAAGGCAGCCCTGATGTCAAGAAACACTACGATTGTTGGCCTGTGATAAGTATGGCGGTGTTGTAACATTTGGCGGAGGGTGAAGATATGATCAATACATCCTCGACCAGAACGAAACCCAGCCTGCTCCTCGCGAGTCAATCTTTCTCGGGTTTTGAACAACCTACGAAGTATGACGGAAGCCAATAGCTTGGACGCAATCGGAAGTAAACTTATCCCCCGATAGTTGTTACAAGAACGACGTGAACCCTTTTTAAAGATAGGGACAACTATCGACTCATTCCATGTCGTTGGTACACTCTCTAGTTCCCAAACCTTTGTAAACAACGTCGTCAATTCCTTAGTCAAAAAGTCACCACCATCTTTAAAAAGAGCTGGAGGTAAGTCATCTGGGCCAGGTGATTTGTATCGCTTCAAGAGTTGGAGTTCCTTGCGGACTTCCTCCTCGTTTGGTGGATCAGTCGTCACCGGCCATGGAGGGCAGGACAGTCTGACCGATGTTGCCGGAGCAGCAGGCCAGTTGAACTGCCCTTCAAAAAATTCTGCCCATCGTCCAAGAGGTCGATGGATGTTAGTGATTGGCATCCCATCATCCTCGCAGACTGTTTCACTCACACCAGACTTCTTGCTGCCAGTGGCCCGGATGAACTGGAAGAGCTTCCGGTAATTACCAGATGCAGCTGCTTCTTCCAGCTCATTAGCACGCTTCGACCACCAGGCTTCTCGGTCCTTACGCAAGCTTTGCCCAATTTCCTTACATAACATCCTTCGTTTATGGCCAAACTCATGGTCACCCGGAGTAGACCGACGGGCTTCAATGAGTTGTAAGGAACCTGCAGAAACCCAGTGCTTAAAAGCGGGACGTTTCGCAAACCCACAACTGACTGTTCCCGCCATTTTCATGGCGTCATGCAATTGCAACCAATGCTCATCTATACTTTTCGGTGGAGTGGTAGCTAGCCTAGAGGCTAGCTCGGTTCGATACTTACTTGCAACAGAAGTTGCAACCAGCTTGCTAACATCAATCTTTTGGTGGTGGTCACTTTGTTGTCCACTGAAAAGTAAGGCAAGATTGGCGTAGACCAAGGCATGGTCAGAGTCCAGATAGGTACTCCAAAAGGAGCGGCAGTCTTTTACACAACCACGCCAGCGGTAGCTGATCGCGATGTGATCAATCTGAGTCCAGGCTTGAGATGCAGAGGGAGGACGCCAGGTGGCACATCGGCGATGACTGTGCCGAAAGTTAGTGCTAGCCAGAAACAGGTTGTGGTCTGTGCAAAGTTGCAGTAGACGGTCCCCGTTATCTGACCTGCGACCAACGAGTCCCCATCGGCCACCTAAACGACTCTCTTCTGTGCCTAGACGCCCGACCTGAGCATTCAAGTCTCCGGCTAGTACTACAATATCTGTCGAACGCACTTTCTGGAGAAGAACTGATAACTGGTGGTAAAACTCATCCTTGATTGCATCCGGGCTGCAATCTGTCGGGGCATAGGCGGAGATGACGAAAAGACATCGTTTCTCACGCCGATTTCTTCTCACTTTGATGGAACTTTCTAATCTAACAGCACATAACCGACTGTTAATGGGGATCCAATCGACTAGTGCTGCCTCAGCTCTAGCTCTTAGTGCGACACCAACGCCAGCAAGACCAGACGAAGATGCCACAGGGTCCCCGGATAAGCGCACGTAAAACAAGCTTTTTGAAGTGACAGATGTAGAGCGAATTTGTAGTACTTCGCCAGAGTCTTGAATACGGGTCTCGGATAGACAACACACGTCGATATTAAGACTTTCCAAAGACATAGCCAGTCCTATCTGTTGTCCGACCTGCATAAATGTGCGAACGTTGAAGGCAGCCAGTTTGAATGGTGCACGTGGTTTCAGAAAATCTGCTTCAGTCCTCGTATTCGGTGGTAACATACAATTTTCAACCGGACAGTGACTCGAGAACGTTTAGATACAGTCGGAATTCCACCAAAGATGAGCCGCTGTATAAGTATAAAAGAGGGTGAATAATGTGGAAAATAATAATAATGATGATAATAATAACAATAATGACAATAATAGTAGTAATAATAATATTAGTATTAATAATGACAATAATTGTAATGATAATAATCTGAATCAATTGTTTGTTTTTCAAAGCGAGAAAGGTAATTTCCATAGGCATAAAGAGTTCATCAATTTGTGTGTGGGCTGTGATACTGCCCGGGTGCCCAAACCGAAGCAGGTGGTTATCTTAGGGGGCCACTCCCCGAGCCTTTGACCTAAAGGTCTAACCCACAAGGCAGTGGAGCATCGTAAGGAGATGCAGTCCCATGGTAGCCGGTGACCAACGATTGGTTCATACTCCATTCGTTCCCGCAGGATACTGGAGCCCATGTGCACCATTGATTTGGAATCCGGTTAAAGCGCCGGACATTCGCTTTTCGTCCTCTCATTTTCGTAAACAACACCCCCGCCACGAGAAGGCAATGAGTAGGACTTCCCTGGCAGAGGCTGTATACGCGTGGCCGTGTGAGAGTATTTCGAGAGGGAGAGCGGACTCTCCCCACTCTCGGCCGTACCAGGGCATTCAGGGGGCCACGGTAATAGTTACCGTTACACTATTGAGGGTAAACCTCTTCCATGCGTTCAAGAGCATAAAGACTTAGGAGTAATATTAAGTCATGACTTAAAAACAACTGCGCATTGCAAAGCAGCCGCTGTCAAAGGTTTTCGTGCGTTATGGTCACTTCGCCGAGCGTTCAAATCTTTTGACGAGGAAACGTTTCGAATTTTATATCCCATATATGTTAGACCACATTTAGAGTACTGTATCCAAGCAGCTAGCCCGTGTCTAGTAAAGGATACTAACTCCCTTGAGCGTGTCCAGCGTGTGGGAACGAAATTAGTGAAGGGTCTTTCTAGACGTCCTTACGATGAGCGCTTAAAGCGCCTAAATCTTTTCCCCTTGTCGTATCGTAGGACACGAGGTGACCTTATACTGGCATTTCGTATCTTTAATTATGATTTGGGTGTTAATATGTCTTATCTTTTTGCTCCCTCCAGCACTAATAATCTCCGAGGTCATAGCAAGAAGGTTCATAAACCACGATCTAATAAACTTAAAGTGGGATCCCGTTTTTCTCATCGAGTAGTCAATCATTGGAACGCCTTACCCGAACAAGTGGTATCAGCCCCATCAGTGAATACTTTCAAGGAAAAGCTAGACCTTCACTGGAAAGCAATGTGTCAGGATTAACACAGGTTCATCAACCTACTATCCTTATTACTGAAGACTGAAGACTGAAATTTTTAGATTACTATACCCGAATTATGTGCGAATTATATGCTAGAAAGAGTCCAACGACGAGCTACTAAGATGGTACAAGGTCTAGCTGGCCTATCTTATGAAGACAGACTGAGACACCTTAACTTATTTCCGTTATCTTACCGTAGAGTACGGGGTGATCTAATATTGGCTTATCGTATACTGAACGATGACCTTGGCACTAACATGTCTTATCTTTTGCTTCTGTCTAGAACCGATCATTTGAGAGGACATTCGAAGAAAGTTCAAAAACCGAGATCAAACCGTTTACGTCTGGAGTTCCGTTTCTCGCACCGAGTAGTGAATTACTGGAATTCTCTACCGTAACATGTAATATCAGCACCGTCTGTTAATATATTCAAAACGAGTTTGGACCTCCACAGTATAACAAACTGCAAGGATTAATATAGGTCGATAGACCTCCTATCCTTATTACTGAAGACTGAAGACTAAATTCGATAAAGATTTGATGTTTGTGACAGCGCAATTTTTAATGTCTGCGGTTTGGCGTGTAGCCACGACCCATCCGAAAAAGCTTGTAGCTGGGACACTATGTTTAGTCTATTGTTATAAGTTTACGGGGGAAAAATATCGGTACGTTTTTATTTTACTTCTGCTCATGTGAATAGAGACTACGTTTTGCACCGAGAAATATGCTCCCATGTATCTGTAGGTCACTCACCTTTGCCTATGATTATGTAGTCAGAAAATTACAAGACCGTTAATAGCACACAACCTCTACGCAGCCTGACTGTGTTTGTAAATCCATTCTCGCGTCGTGGGTATGTGCTAATATTCTATTTTCCAGAGGACTTTTAAAAGAGTTTGAAAACAATGCTGCTCCTATTTTAAACCTATCTGGTCTTGACGTTAAAATGGTTTATCTGGACACCGATTCTGAAATAAAGGACTTCATAAAAGTGCTAGATCCGAGCACTACTGACGGTGTTTTAGTTGTTGGAGACGACAATTTGATCCAAAAAGTATTTTCCTTGTCATAACACACATTGTTTAGGCAGTTACAAGTTTGTTATCCCGGGACGATTTTAAAGTAAGTTGGATCTCATAGCTAACAAATCGTCAGACTACTCCTTTGTGGTCATTGCCAGTCGGAGCGGTGCCCGTAGGTATTTGGAATGGGCTTATAAACTCCATCTGTGAAAAAACAGTTGTCCCTAAGTAAGCTAATATAATTTATCCTTGTACACTTTTTATCCACTTTCATATTTCAATGTTCTTGACTTTTATTTCGAATTTGAGCATGATATTAGTTAGTTTGATCTGAATAGGTGTGGATAGGTAATATTAAAAAGAACAATCTAATTCATCAAAGTCGTTGAGCATATGAAATAAATGTTTGTTAAGTTTATTGCTAACAAGCAATATTGAGGGTTATTTCAGGATCTGGCCCGTAACGAACTTCATATTGTACTTCATCTTTTGGATTACTGTTTGACATATAAGTACTACCTCTACTACTATAGGATTTGAATCGACAACTGCATCTCGGTGCTAATGTGGTATGGCAGCTCGAACTGATGTACGTACGTACGAAGTTCTACGTTGTTACTGACTGACTGATTGACATTTTTAGAATCTGAATGTTTTGATGAATCCGTTTGTTCACTACTTAACCTTTCATCAAATAAATATCATAGTCTAACATGTCTAGTTTGTTAATGTTTATTTTCATTCTTGTTATATTCTCACACATTGTAGGTGGTTTTACAACGCTTTACATTCTGTCCTACAACAGAATACTAAAAGGAGAAATGTTTTGGAAGTAAAAGTTATTTCAGACGTGAGTTTATAGTTTTAGTAAATGTCGCTTTTTTCTCTGACTAATTGTTCTCTACACAGTTTTATTTATTGAATCCACGTAAAACCTACTACAACTTGGCATTACGAATAAAATATGTTTTTAAAAATGGAATTTTAACACATATAATAGTTCGAATTACTCATATTGTCAGTTCAACTCCCATGAACTACTGGGCGTTTTGTGAGTATGCTTCTCATTTTACGTTTAGAAATCGGTTGATTCATAAGTTTAAGGATAAATAGTCATGTATGTGAATATGTTACTATTAGCGGGACATGGACTGGATTAAAACATGCTCAATGCACGATTGCTTTGGGGCACGCTGATTGGCTAATTCTTATCCAATGAGCACCAGTCGACAGTTGGAGAATACACTAGAATCTTCTCATGTAAAAACTATAAATATACTGACGTTTTTCCCTATTGTGCTTGCATCTTGCTTCCATCTAACCTTGTTATTTGGAATATAATCTCTTTCCTGTTCAACTGTGTTCTGATTTGGGGTCTTGTCGAGTGAATCGGTGTCCGAGAATACTAAGCAATAGGAATAGCTGGGTCATAACCGTAAGAAAGAGATTATAACAGTTACCTTCTCTCTTAATTTTATTATAACTTTAGTTATTTGAGATGATTTCCGTTAAAACGTTTATTTTAAAGGTTCATGTAACATATCGGGTATCTAATGATTAATTTATACACCGTATAAATTTTTCGGCGTATTTTCGTGATGTGTGCTGACTGAAAATCTTTCAGTTCCTAAATTTTAATTATTTAAATCAATGTATCACTGATCTTAAATGTATTTTGAATTCTACTGCATCTCAATCAGAAAAGCTTCTCTACAACAGCTGAATTTCTTACTCTAGTTAGCCAAGCATAGGAGAAGATAGAAATAGTTTCCTTCATTGGTTAAGAGAAGAAGTAAAATGTGGATGAATTAAAATAATCTAGAAAAGCTGAAATATTAGAGGAATATGTTAACTAGTGTTTCATCATCTTCATGAACAATGGGCTAACCAAATTATTTGGAAATCAACTGATTAGTACCAGTAATTATTAGTATTTGTTCTTAAACCTCATGAGAATACAAACGAAAATCTTTTCAACTTATTGTGTAAACACACTTGGTGGTATATGCCTTCAGTCTGAATTCCGTATTCATCCTGGCTACATCACAAAGTGATCTATGCCATTTAAAAAGCTTTTTGAAATAATCAATCTAATCTACAAAGTATCATTCTTTTTACACATTTCTTACCTATCATGTAATTTGTACATCGAAATCATTTTATTTAGGTGACACATAATGTTTTGAAATTGTTTGTTTATAACTTTTCAAATAGGATAGTCAACCAATTGAACAATCAAAGGCGTCATCTGCGAATACTTATTCTTTATTAGGTATTGAATGGAATATTTGGAGAGATATAGAACTTGGTGGGGGTTGTGGTGTTAGTGATAGGCATAAAAAGCCAACAAATCCTAACGATCACCGTGGTGTACTCACAACACTTTCAGTTTCATCTCCTAGATCTTGGAGTCGTAATTTTGGTGCATTGTGGAGATCTACTTGGTATTGGCTTCGATCGTCTGAAAACAATGCTCAAATATATCCTCATAGTGATTCTAAAACTTTATTGAATTTTTTCGCAGATTCTCCAGTCACTATATCTGAAAAAAAGCTGGAAAAAAGTCGTGTGAAATTCGCTCGCCTTACTTATACTCCAATTTGTACAGGATGTTCGAAATGTTGGGAGAAGAAGTTAATGGTAAGTACCTTATCATATTTAGACGCCTACCTACTAATACTGATAGATTGTAGTGGTTACATAAGAAGAACTGGAATTTAGTCAGAACCAAGGACTAGACAAGCACAATATTGATTACTACTTAATGATGAACTGATGTGTATATCCTAGTTTTATCTGAAGTCAGTCGCCGTATAAACGGCTCATCACTATATCTTAAACTGTGACCTAGTAACTTGTGTTCAGATCGTGTGCGGAGCATCGTTTCCCTCAATATTGAAATTAACACGAAATCTAGGTCCAGGGTATCCTGTCGTCTACCTACAACAGCCTAACAGGGCATAGTTAGCTTATCGATGACGAAATATAATAGTCCAGTTTTTCCCCTCACTCAAATGTTTTTTTTGCCATCAGTGTTTAGTATTTCATGTTAATAAACTATCGACAACTAATTTCCTCTTTTATTTTTATAAATTAGTTTGACTATGATAATCATTAGTAATACGTATGTTGTCACCTCGTTTTAGTGCATACATTTCTATTAACACATTGACTGGTGATACATGAAAATGTTTTATCAAATAAAAACCAAGAAATCAACTGTTTTTATTAATTTAACGATTATTGCAACAAAACATTCCCTAAATACTAGAAAATGAGTCAGTTAAGTGAATTTCAATGATAATGCTTCGTTTTCTTGCACTCAGGAACTCAGTGATAAATAATATAATTCGTACTATAGTTAGCTTTTAATTTTTCCCTGTCAGTTCTAATTTCACTCAATCCAGTCTAATTTTAAATTGCTTCTTAATGTTTGTCAAAATGGTTATTATTCAACAAATTTCTTTGAAATAACCATCTTTATTTTTGATGGACAGAGTTATAAAGAATCTGGTCTCGAAGTAAATACAAAGAAATCATCATCTCTATTAGGAAGAATATTTGGATTCTCACTAAGCAGTAATAATAAAAAATCAAATATTGATGAAGTGAAAAGTATAGAAATTCAACAAGAAATCAAAGCTAAGAGTTCCATAGATAATCCTGCATGTGGAGAACTAAAGGAATTAATCGTTGAAAAGGCTTCTGGATTCACAATCACTCCAGAAGGAGTAAGTCTGTGTATGGCAGTAAATTTATGAGTTTTATTGTTATAAAAACAGATTTGTACCAGTTTCATCATTATTCAGTGACTTGAATAGCTGTAAAGGATAATTGTTCTTTATTGATTTTTTTACCATCCTATTCGTCAAATGGATGTCAGATCAATCTGTATCTGTGTCGGAACACTAGTCATTGGTTAGTGAGGTAGTGTATCTTCATCAATTGAGCTGATTACAACATGTATGCCCAACGACTGCCTGTCTCGACGGGCAATGTCTGGTGTAGTAGGCTGAAAGAAAGCTAGGGGAGACCAAACCAGAACGTGTTATCAGTCCATAAAGTCATTAACCCGTTGCATTGAGCCGTGTAGGTAGGTGCATATTATCTGGTTGAAGTCGGGGTGAGTGTCGAAACCAATGGTTACAGACTGTGTGATATGGCCCCGACTCGTGCTCAGTGGCACTAGTTCATACACTTTATTTTCTCTAAATCTCTAAATCCTATGCCTTTTTGTTTCTTTTCTACACCTAATCTTTTTGGTTACTAATGATATTGTTAATACTTCTACAATGCTGATATTTGTCTTAATAATTCTATCTCTGTGTGATTATGTTATATGGCAACTTGAACTGACACACATGTGTCAGGTTCTACGTTATATGTGACTAACTGAGTGGAGCATTAGCCTCAGTTATACACAAGAGACCGCCTCACCAATCCAACTAAACGTTATGAGAGTAGTAGATTGGAGTATGTAGTCAAACATTATTAACAAGTCATTGTGATCAGGACTTGTTTCTTTGGTATATTTCAACAAGGAAGACATCATGGAGTATTAGTGAGGAATTCATGTAGTATGTTTAGTTATGCATAAACTTATATGCTATGTTAAACTTGTCACCTTTGGTAATCAATCCAATTTCGAGATAATCTAATCTGTTAACCGAATTTAGTCACTCAAATTAATGATGTTTTTTGAATGAAGTCAATCAGCTGTATGGTGACATTTGTTGATGTATGATTGAAAGCATCTGGCAGGTTATTTTAAATGAAAATATCGTTTTTGCCGGCAATCGCCACCTAGGTTTATTTTCGATCATTAGCAAACTAATGTTTTATGTCTTGTTAATACATATTACCGATAATTCCCTACAAGCATAAAACCCTGCTCACGATTTCCTGTTGATCGTCTCTAACCATTCTACACAATTCTTTCTTATCTGCCTAAGTATTCAGTGTATGTCCTCTAGCAGTAGTTCAAATTCACTGAGAATTTCTTACTGAGAAGGCAATAAAACAGAAATCAGGATCTTGTTGTTACTTGTATTATCTATCGACTTTCATTTATTAGTCTGTATGCAATTATTTCTTATGTTTGAGCGTTAGATTATTTCATTTACTAGGCCCAGGTTAGTGTAGTTACCTTCAAGCCACGTGCTGAATGTGAAAGCTAACTATACTAACCAGTTGTCTAAATTGATGCAGTTGGACCAGGGTTATAAATCATTCTCTTAGTCTAATATTAAATATAACTGATCATCCAAACCTCATTGGATGGAGCAGGGTTCGAAACCGTAGTTCACTGGTTGAAATTGTTTTGACCTGAATAAATAAATCACGTCCTTACCAATGCCTGTATTTCATGTTTTAATGAATACCACACCATAACCAATCCTTATATCGATTATTCTGTTTAGTAACTCATACTAGGAGTGGTGATGAAATATGATAAGTGGACGTTTTTTAATGAATTATTGTATGGATAATCGTAAATCAAAATCTGTATTCAGTCACTCAGTAACAACGTAGAACTTCGTGCGTACGTACATCAGTTTGAGTTGCCATACCACATTAGCACACAGATACGATTGTCCATTCAAACCCCATGGTGGTAGAGGTAGTAAAAGTGTAAGCAGTAATCGGAAAGATTATGGTTTGGAGATGTTATTCAAGGAGTATAATTCAGTGAAATAAATTTGAAGAGAGAAAAAAAGAGACATGAATAATTCAGAAGATTAGAATTTGGGAGAACACAAAGAGTGGATGCACCTGCGCTGTTGCAAACGATTTTGTCATTCAAGGTCTCTAACCATAGGTTGCTATCGTCTCACGGATCCCAACTAGTTAGTCTACACCTACCAACATGACTTAGTCCACTTGTCGGTGACTTCATGGATTGGTGCCATGTATTGGCCTGATTGCCTCTAGCTTCTTTCCAACCTACTCTTACACCATAAAACATCGCACCTCGAGGCAGTTGGTGGTTAGGCATACGTAACACATGTCCCAGCCATCTCAACTGATCAAGTTTTACTACGTCATCAATCTATTTGTCATCTTACGTGGTACTCATTTCCTACCAACTGCGTTACTTACTCGGTGGTCCCAGGATATACGAGCAATGCTTCGAAGACACCTATGATCGAATATTAGTAACCTACGGATATCCTCTACTGTTACTGGCCATGTTTCACTGCTATAAAGTAGGATGGAACTAACTGCTGTGCAGTAAACACGTCCTTTGATTGGTAGACGGATATCTCGTCTACTCTATAAATGACGCAAGTTGTCAAAAGCTATTCGAGCCCTCTGTATCCGTGCTGAGATTTAATCACACACCAGACCACAAAGACTGATGAGACTTGCAAGATAAGTGAAGCGGTTGACAAGTTCAATTACTTCACTCCCTATCATTAGTTCGGGTGTCGATGCAACCCAATCCTGAAGCAAAATTGTGCATTTCGAGGGAGAAAATCGCATGCTGAACATGCTTGCATTGTTTCATATAGTGATCAGAAGACTGGATTTTGTCAGCGTCTTCACCAAATAGAACTATGTCATCGGCATATTCTAGGTCAAAAAGTGAGTCTTGCGGTAAAAGTGCAACTTGAGCATTAAAGTCACCAGCCACTATTAATACATCAGAGCACCTAACACTTTGGAGGAGGTCAGAAAGCTTTCTGTAAAACTAATCTTTTACCTCATCTGAGCTGCAGTTAGTAGGAGAGTAAGCGGGGACGACGAAGAGTCAACGATGATTGTTCCTATCTTTCCGGGTTTAGTAGAACGTGGTTTCAGGAGACCGAGAATAACATTCCGAGCACTCGAATCGTTTGCATTAGCGGCGCGAGGTGATAAAGGAACGTGGGAAGGGTCAGTCGTAGAGATAAGAAAGTTATTAGGAGGTGAAAATATGTGTGTTTCAAGTGAATAAGTGATTTAATTAATTAAATTAGATAATCAATGGTCCGTTTCACGTTTAAATACACACTTGGTAGTTTTGTGTAATCCATTTAAATATGTACCGATAAAAATGTATATGTCTTTAGGATCACATTCGTTTGGATATTTTGCGTCGTTCCACCAGCTATTGGGATCATATACAACAGTTTCGCTCATGGCTCCTTTCTCAACCGTATTCATTTAAATCTGGTAGTCAGGTAATATTGTGTGATAAATTGCGTTTGTTTCCTGGTCAAACCGAGGTGAGCTTTTTTCGTTTCTCTATTATCAAACTGTTATCAAGCTAAACCATATCTTTATTTTGTTTCATGAATGTTGGTTTACAATGTTTATTTGTTCATTCGTTTGAACAATAGGAACCTTGTGCCGAAATTTCAGCGTTTTTGTTGATTAAGAGACAAGCGGAGATTATATACTGGTGAATATTTCTTAGTGATTTCATTCTAGTAATAGAGTTGGGAAAGTTATGAAAAATCAAGGCATCAAATTAGTCCGAGTTGTTGGTTATCTAAATTTCTAAACTGACAAGCGAATTAATTTAGCTTCTGAAATATTAAAAACGAGGTTTTTTCATTGTTCGACTCAAATTAAACACAATCGAATGATAATTTGGTAATTGTTAAAAACTTGTATCTTATTGTTCCGTTTGTTTAAATATCTAAATTTTTCAAACTCAACTGTTGGCATTTAACATGTAATTTGATGAAGGTCCGCCATTTACATGTTTTGCGTTATCACCTCTTATAACTAACGTGGTCTCCGATACTGTGACTTGTTCTATGTATCGATTTGTGTAACCATTATCAGTGGTTTTTTGTACTTAATTCTATCTTTACTTATATAGTATATTGGTTTTTTTCTGTTAATTCGTTTGTTCACTTTAAATTCTTTCTCTGCTACTCAAAATTTATATGTACATATATGTTCATTGTTATAGAACGAGTTTTATTGGATTGACAACGACTACTTTGAGGCCCACCCGATTGAAGTGAATTTGCGCCACAACGCTATCAATCTTTTCATGTAATTTAATACTTTCACTTAAATAAACTAGATTGGTTTTCCTAGTTTATTAATGTATAATTGAAGCTTCTCTTTGCTCTCTGATTGGGAACTCAATTTTTACGTTGAAAGCAGTCCCATTATATAGACGTAATTGAGCAAGTGGCGATTTGTGTTGTACTTTGAAAGCTTACCACACTAATTCATTACGTATCTCATAAGGATACCTGGCTTCATAGTTGAAATCTGTCAGGAGTCCATGGTACAGTGCCAGTTCATCCATTTTCGTTGGTTACGTTGAAGTCAAGCTCTGTTCCTTTTTGTCTGTCTCATAGTTGGTTTTATACTAGAAGAATATTGCTTGACAGACTTATCGTGTTTTGGTTATGGAAGGTTTCTAGTGCGTTATCACCATTGTTATTATTTTTATACAGGCATTGTGAACCACAGTTGCTGTTACAAATAACTTGTCGTGTAGTTCGTCTGCGCTACTATCAGTAAGTGGCATGAGAGTCAGAACACTTGCCGCTTAAAGTTTACTCATTACTGCCGGTGTGTAATTACCAATCTTAGTACTGATCATTTTCGACTTTGAATATTCCATATAATCTTTTTATTTGATCAACTGACAGTGCTACAAAAAGGTCAGTGGTAGGTTCGGAGAAACTTAATGAAGGGCCTGTCTGTAGTATCATTAAGCGAAGACTAAGAAGCCAGTTGTGGTACATAGATCCCGAGAATAAGTAACTTTATAGGTCTATAGTGGTGACGTCTGACACACTTGACAAAATAATTGTGAGCACATATACAAGAACCAGTGATATCATATGTGATAACACATCGGTCTATAATCATGATAAACATTCGCGTCATGTCACTCTGTTTCCCGCTTCACTGGATTTTAGGTCGTAATATATGAAGAAATTTGGAGAGTAGCAGTCACGGATATTTCGTATTCGTTATCCTCTTTAAACCCAGACAATCAGCTTTCCCCTAAGTACAATCGAAAAATAAATAAATCGATTAGGGGAATCGACTCGACGTTTGACTATTACCCATCAGTTGTATGAAGACTGTTCCCCATCACAGTAGATTGTCTACCATCTTGAGTAAAGAATCGTGGTCAGACAGAAAAATACCTGTCCATCATGAATAAAGTTTTCTTTTATTTCCAAAACCACCTAGTCAATGTGTTTTGATTTCCAATGAATTCAGGTCTTGGAAGCCAATATGATTGTTGTCGCAGGAACTTGGCTCACCGTAGATGTAGACTGTTCTGCCATCATTGGAGGTTACAGTCAGTCAGTCAGTCAGTAACAACGTAGAACTTCGTACGTACGTACATCAGTTCGAGTTGCCACACCACATTAGCACAGAGATACAGTGGTCGATTCAAATCCCGTAGTGATAGAGGTAATAAGAGTATAAGCAGTAATCGGGAAGATTAGGGTTTGGAGATGTTATTTAAAGAGTATAATACAGTGAAAGAAATTTGGAAAGAGGAAAAAAGGGACATGAAGAATTCAGAAGATTAGAGTTTGGGAGAACACAGAGAGTGGAGGTTACATCCATATTGGAAGTGATAGAGTTTTAAGTCGCAAGGGAGGAGGCATAGTGTTGTGTGTTAGGGATCACTTCTGTATACAGTCGATTGTATCGGTGGCAAATGTGAGGTAGTATGTTGCAGAATTACTCCTAGAGACGGGTTAGTGGCTATAGGAGGAATGTACCGTAGTCCGTGTTTTCTCGTTGACGACTTTACCTTAAGACACAACTGTTGTTGGAGTAAAGCAGAATGTTGTCTCATCATTGGAGATCTCAACACACTGCATATTACCGGACAGGGCCTACATAACCGGATGGGTGTTCCGATTGCGACCTTCAATCAATCATTATTCAGTGTTCTCGTGTATCTGCTTCACTCCGACCCTATATCTGGCGAGCTAATATTCCGGCAATCCACTGACTAGTCGGTCGATACGGATGGATCGATCGAAGACGAATGGAATAACTTTGAGGCTACATTCGAGCCCGTAATATCACCGTTTATCACATGGTCAACACGTAAGCTATTACATTGCCCTCCATGGATTACTAAGGAAACTCAGAAGCTATTGAAGCGTATGAAACACTTCTGGGACTCACTCTCGTCAACATGACACGCATCATTTATATGTGAATATAAAACAATCCGGCATACATGTAAATTCCGTACTACTTACGAACGACAATTGGCATATTGCCGTACTTGTTCGAAACGATTGTTTTCGTGTGTTAAACGGCGGGTGAAACGTAGTGATGCTATTCTCCCGTTACTGCTACACGGAAATTCAGATTTACTAGCTGAATCAGATCGAGCAAAGTCTAAGAATTTCAAAATATTTATCGGAGTCAACTCTGTGTGTATTGTTACAAATACTTGTTCTTATAACACCGCTCAGATATCAGCTATAAGATCTGTACATGTGACTGAGCAAACTGTTCTCTCATTGGTAACTAATCTTGAACTTTGTAAGATACCGGGCTGTGATGCGTTACATCCACGACTGCTGTGATCTCTCGCGGAAATCATTTCAAGAGCGCCCTTGACGCTCTTCAACATGCAACTTTCACTCGCTCAACTCCCTAGAGACTTGAAAGACGCTTTGATCAGTCCTATATTTATGGATGGTCAGAGACAAATCTTATCTGACTACCAGCATAGTCGATAAGTTACTTGAAAAGATATTTCGGTTCAAGGAACTAAGTCACATAGATTCACACAATCTGTTAACTCCCGACCAACATGGGTTTCGCAACGAGCGTTCATACTTGAATAACTGACTTATTGCGAAAGAGGATTAAACAACGACCCTAGGAAACGGTCTGTTTGTCGATGTGATATTCATAGATTTTAGCAAAGCGTTTGGAAAGGTTTCACATTTAGATCTTATGCAGAAGCTCTCGAGCTTCGGAATGATAAATGCTGTACAAGAATGGATAAGTAACTTCTTATGTGACCATAGAAGGAGAGTGTCAATGGAATGCTATCCGAATGAAAGCTGGTCAAAAGTGGTGTACCTCAAGGCACCATCATAGGCCCTCTACTTTCCCTTCTATACATTAATGAATTACGGCTTTTGCTTGAGTTGTCGACATTATTGTTTGTGGATGATGTAAAAATCTGGTGAACAATAAGAAGTGAGGCTATTCATTTTGATTTACAAACTGACTTGAACGGATTGGTTAGGTGGGCTCGAGGTTGGGATTTAGAAGTTAATTCTCGGAAGAGTGTGCTCATGCACATCGGACACGGTAGTAGTTTTAATTATACTATATATATATATATGGGCCACCAATTTCGTGTCTTTAGGTAACCCTCGTGCTATGGACAGAGGAAAACAGACTAGTAGTGATAGGTCTTTATTAAGATCTTCGCGCAGTCACAGAGGAGCGTGAGATTACCTGTTCGGACAAACAAAGTCTCTCGACATTCAATATAAGATAATAGGAAATATAAGGCCTTTGCAAACTAAGGAAGTGAATGAATGCTTGAACTCTACTATTTTGACATATGCTTAGTTGTTTGAGGTCAACTCTTAACCAATCAACCTAAACTGTTACACATTCCTTCCATGCATTCAAGAATATGAAGACTTAGGAGTAATAATAAGTCATGACTTGAAAACAACTACATGTTGCAACACAGCTGCTGTCAAAGGTTGTCGTGCGTCATCGTCTGATAAGTGATACTAACTCACTTGAGCGTGTTCAGCGTGTGGAAACAAAATTAGTTAAGGGTCTTTCTAAACTGTCTTACGATGAGCGCTTAATATGCCTAAACCTTTTCCCCTTGTCGTATCGTAGGATGCGGGGTGAATTTCGTAGCTTTAGTTATGATTTAGGTGTCAATATCTCTTATCTTTTTGCTCCCTCCATCATTAATAATCTCTGAGGTCATAGCAAGTAGGTCCACAAATCGCGATCTAATAAATTTAAAGTGGGGTAACGTTGTTCTCATCAAGTAGTCAATGTCTGGATCACCTTACCCAAACAAGTGGTATCAGCCCCATCAGTGAATATTTTCAAGGAGAATCTGGACTTTCACTGGAAGGCAAACTGGTTCACCAACCTACTACCCTTAATACTGAAAACTGAAGACCTTCAGTTTTGTCAGCATAACTGAGCTAAGTTATCCCACCAACAACAGGCACTGGAATTTCAAACGGTTGAATGTGTCAGCTCTACAAGACTATCTACAGAAGGTGGATTGGGATGCTCATCCTCAACTGTATGTGAATGCTCATTGGGACATCTTAGTGCACACTCTCTTATGTGCTACAAAGCAGTCAGTTCGTCAAACGGTCCAATTTAGCTACAAGCAACCTACAATCATCAGGAACCGCACCCTTCGCCTGGTAAGCCGCAAAAGGCATTTTTGGGCAGAATACAAACGAACTGACAACAACGGAGCGTACAGGCAATACAAACATATAAGGGACATATGCACGAAGGCTATTAGAGAAAACAGGATTCAGTACCAGATAAAGCTTATGGATAAATTTGTCTCTAATCCGAAAGGCTCATTCCGTTATTCAGCCTCTCTTCGTCAAGCTAAAACTGGAGTTTCCCAACTGCTAGGTCTTAACGGCCCGACCAATAACGACGGCGACGCCGCTAACCTTTTGACTGAACAATACTCTCCGACATTTCAACCGACCCACACCAACTTCACTGATGACAGCTTCATCTGCGACTGCACAGAACTTTCTGAAGTGAACCTGAGCGCTGACTTGGTGTTCCAGAAACTGCAGCACCTAGGAAATGACATTTCTCCTGGCCCAGATATGGTTCATTCTGCCATACTGAGGGAAGTAGCCTCAATCCTGGCAACGCCGGTTGGCGTGATGTTTTCACACTCGCTAAGCCGTGGCAAACTACCTGAAAAATGGAAGCTGGCTCACATCACCAATTTTTAAAGGAGGTCGAGGCAGCGAACCTTCAAAAATCATGGAGTCCCTGATATGCGATGGTATACATGACTATTTACTGTCCTTAAATTTCTTCTCACCCCAACAGCATGGTTTCAGGAACGGTTACTCTTGTATAACCAACCTGCTGACTGCGGCGGACTGATGGACAAGCATCCTCGATCGCAATGGGAATGTCGATATCATTTACCTTGATTTCTAAAAAGCTTTTGATAAGGTTACCCATATATTTCTTATCAATAAGCTCAAACGATTGGGTATCAGACCACCTCTAATTGATTGGCTCACTTCATATCTGAAAAATCGACATTTTAAGGTCAGGGTTAACTTCAGTTTATCTCAGGCTGGAATTCGCTGCCGGTCGAGCTAGTCCAAGTGACTTCCCGGGAGTCCTTTAAGAGGCAACTTGATCTATTCTTAAGGACTAAGGATAGTATCATACTATGATTTACCAATTTCTTTTTCCTCTTTTATCATTAATATACCTAGGTTCATGCATGGGAGTGAAATTTTTTTTCATTCCTTTTGAAAAAATTTCTCATCCCCATCTTCTAATAATTTTCATTCTGTTTCGTCCAATCAAATAACTAGTTTTGAGTTCGTTATAATTGGTCGTTTATTTCTTAAAATCGATATAAAACATCAGGACATGACGACAGAGCACATTTTCTTACAATTGTGGACGGTAGTAACATGCAAAGTACGAGCTCTGTCGTTCCGCACATTGCCACAGAAACCGATAACTTATTCTTGAGCACATTGTATCTCGTAGGGTTCCAATCTCTTGAAGCATTGAAGAGCTCCATTAGAACGTATGAAAGAGCCACGTACTGCCATTATGTGGTAAGGGATTCTCATTTCCATAGAAATCGGAAGCCGTATATTAAATTCGTATGTTGGAGAAATGGTGGTAGAACACCTAGCGGTTCCTCACAGCCGAGCAGACGAACGAGGTAATTTGATTAGTGTTATTATAATTTTTCATCAAGGACTACCGTGAACACTCAATGTCCTTCTTTCGTATTTTGTAAGTTACCAACTGTCAAAATAACGTCAATATGGATGCAACGTTAAGCAATGACGAGGAAGAAATTGTTTCGATTAGCTCAGAGGAGTTCACTGAACGGGACGACGACAATGACGAAGACGCGTATGACAACAGACTTTGTGATATTTGCAATCTTGCGCAACCGCCACATGAAACTGCTGATGGAAGTACCAGGATATTTTGTCCATGCGAAGCAATGCTTCATTTATTTTGTGCCTACGACCCATCAACACACGTCCATGGAATCCACTGTCCCATGTAGGGAGCTATAATGGAATAATAGCAACGCCTTTGTTCATGAAATTCGGAACTGTCAAGAGAATGAGTAAAGGACCTTTTCAGGGCCACCCACAATGTGATTTAAATTATTTTATTTCAATTCCTTATTTCCATGGCAAAGGTCAAGTGATGAAACCATCAAAATTCATTTAAGATTAATAATCATTATGTGATTATCGTCCATGTATTAGTAAACGCTTTTTAAGCTTTGTCAAATACACGGTTTAAGTAAACGATTTCGTATAGGAAATGTCATCTCATGAACACTTATCTGTCTAACAATAGTACATGCAAAACCTATTCAGAATGTTTCAATGTTTTGTCATATAGTTCATTAAATGATTGTCTACGGTTGCTTCACCTGAATTATACATATTTTGCAACCAGTAATTTATCATGATGATTTATTGATATGTTGATTTCTTTTTCCCATTAACACACAATGTGTTACGAAAAAAACTTATGCACACACTTCGGTAATAATTTGATTATTATTGGGTATTCAGCATTAGACAACCGACCGAATTCAGTAATCACTATGATCAAATATTCAAACCGATTTTCAGTTCCTTTTTCACTCAACTTTCTTTTTATGTGATACATATAAGTACTCGTGACATTAAATCACTTGATCGGAAATCAAAAATTTATCCCCAATACACATTCACTAACAGTAGGATTGCACGGTAATGCAATTCAGTTGGTGTCTTTTTCTTCAAAAGTCTAAATTTTTTTCAAGACTAGGATTACACAAAAAAAATTTATTCATTATCATTAAATTTCAAATGTAAAAATGAAAATTCTGACATCCAATCACAGCTCTAGATGCGATTTCAATTTCAACTAATCAGATTACAAAGATGAACAGTTTACGACCAATTACAAAATGATTAAAGATGACAAGATGTTTGTTCATTATCACTTGAGCACACACTTGCAAAACAAGTCCACCAATCAACGATACCTAAATTTTTCATTCACACCCCACAATTTTTTTGAAATGGGTGGTAGGGAATCATTTTGGCCGATCACTTAATGTCAACCTCAACCTCACTATTTCATAACTTACCATATAATTGTTTTAATGCTGCGACAGCATCTAATAGATCACGAAAGTGCACGAAAGCATAATCACGGATTTTTTTTTAACACGTTCAACAGCATCAATTGAATTAATTGCTTGGTTGAAATGATCCTTTACCGCATCTTCTGTTGTATCTAACATAAAATTTCTGACGTATAGTGTACGGACCTATACAAAGTGAAATCAATATATATATATCTTGCGAAATACTATGAGTGGTATAAGTTCAATTATAAAATTTAATTACATTTTCTTATAAGAAATCTTAATGTATACCAAATACAATTAACGTTTATACAGAATTACATTTACATATATACACTTGAAACTTCGTGAAAATGGTGTCTCAACAAATCCAAGTATGTACTCTCAACAAGTCCTCAACAAAGCTGTTTCATGTTGATATTATAACCGATTTCTATTGTACTTTTTGCTGTAGAGACTAATGTATTTTCATAGACAACATTTTGTATTGTTTCGTGCACACATATCAGCTTAATTTGTAATGATTTGGATTCGCGTAGCTGAAGAGAGACGACTGCGTCAAGTGTGATTCGATAGGTGCATGCTTTGTTGTACCAGAAAGTATTGCTTTTCCCCTTATGTATTTTGAGACCTACTGCTGCTGAGGCTGCTGCTACACTCGTTGTTGGTGCATGTGTGATAAAAGAGCCAGATGATCTGCGAAGTCCAGATCGTCCAACTGCATTCTAGCTGTCCAATGTATCCCATGCTTCGCCCCAGATGTTGACATCTTCATGATCCAGTTTCTTTGACACTGCGTAATTGACTAAAATTAATGGAATATCGCAGTAAAAACTATACATATGTATTCTCGCCTGGCTTTTCAGTGATATCTGTAGAAATTAGGTGAGATGGATTGCCTTAAGACAAGTTTGCAAGAACTCTATTAAGATTATGATGAAATGTTGGAGAGAAGCGCAAAACTCGGAGGAAATTTTGGGGAGAAACGCGAAATTTTTCACAATTTTGAGGTTTCATTAATAAATACAAGCCGACTTCCTCGAAGTGTAATAATATTCTGGGGAAGTGTGCAGATTCTGGTTTCTGAAGTTGATGAAAGATATAATGATGTTTGTTACAAAATCAGTGGATACAATACTTGAAGGATTAGAAATGTAGTGAAAAGTAAGTTAGTATTTTGTATGATTGATTTCTTTCTGTATAAGGAATGAAATTATATGATTTTTTAAAATAATCATATCATATTACCTACCAATTTATAGTAGTAGTATGTTAATTTTTTTGAAAGATTTGTAGGATCAATAGGCTGATTTCATTTAGGTAACTATGAGGGTAAACTCATTTTTAACATAATATTTTCATCAACTTCACGTTACGGTTCTGCCTAATCCACAGCAATTTGGTGCCCCCATAAATGAATTTGTCCAGGAATTAGTTTACGTCGAGCCATAGCAGCTGTTTTGTGATTTTCATATTCGACAAATGCAAATCATTTATTCTTGCTTTTATCAGCTACACTTGGATAAACAATCACATTTTTCACGCCATCATTTACTTTTCACATTTACAACATTAATTCATCTTTCGCTTTCAATTTAGGTATAACACCGATGAATAAATGACAATTATCAATACTGAAACAAACGCCTAATATTTTACCTTTACGAATTTCATAACAATTTAATTCATTTACAGCTCGTTTAGTATCATCACGATTAGTATACATACAAAAAGCATAACCACGATTTAACCCACTAAAATCCACCATTATTCGAGACAGATAAATTTTTTTTTGACTAATTCAAATACAGGAACTAGTTCATCTTCAAACCAATCACGTGGTATTTTACCAATGAATACTTCACAACGATTCGGTGATTTTGGTCCATACCAATTCGGTGATGGACTATAACAACGTTGATCCATTTTTTGTAGTAATGGATAAAATCTTCTCTCTGTTAATGTGACTAGTGTTGGGGTGATCCAGAAAACGTCTGACAGAAGACAAGCAAGGATCAGGAAAACACTAAGAAGCATTTTATCCAATCAACGTTCACTTGTAGTTTATCCAAAAACACCAAGAAAGTGAAAAGTCACATGTAGAGTTTCTGATTGTCTGATTACAATACCGCTCCTATGTTAAGTAGCATTTGAGAATCTTCGAGAAACCCAAGGACATCTGAAAATACTATAAAAACCCTATATTTTCTGTACTAAAACGAACCTTTGGAGTAAAGTGCTTCTCGCATAGTTTGTGTCTTTTCTCTCGTGCTCAGGTCGCTGTGTAGTTCTAGCTTGGTATTTACGAGGATAGCTTCGGAACCGAATGAAGCGTTCAAATTAACAAGACTTATCAGTGGTGACGGCAAAACTACAATGAATATTTCTTTGGAGCAAATAGAAGCTTCTATGGAGCGTCAAGAAAAGAGGTTTGAATAGTCCCAAATCCGAATCATGGAAGCCCTGATGCAGAATTTGTGCCTGTCCCAGCAAAACCCTTCTGATGAATCACAAGTATCTCATATTGATTCAATCATTAATGCCATTTATACTACTTATAGTATTTCACATAATATATATATTCAAGTAATAAATAAAATAATTTTACTTTGTATAGATCCGTATATTGTACGTCAGAAATTTATTGTTAGATTGTGGCGGACCAAAATGTATATTAATTGAAAAAACAGCAATAAAGTTATTATGTCCAAAAGTTAATGTAGCAATAAACAACGCATAAGATAATAACACAAATAAAAGTTTAGGGACGTTACTTAAATCACCAGGTTGGAGCGTGTGCTGTTGGTTTTGGTACCAGAATCCACAATTATAGGTAAATAATAATTCCAATGAGACGATATGGCTCCAGTAGTATATCCGAACGTAGAAGGTAATGTGAATGTTACAACAGTCCATAAATATAGATGATTGTTAATTAATCGTTCCGTTATCATATTCACAAACATGATAGCACGAGAGACGTATGTATAGAAGTGTATTTAATTATGAGCAGTTACCAATGTCATGCTATGTGGGATTCAAAAACGGAAGGAAGAACGTAAGTATTCAAGGTCATATACTTGAACAACAAGTGCAATCGATTAATGATAAATGTACAGATTGTGAGAATTGGGAAAATAAATGCAAAAGATATCAAAAACTATCAAAAACAAAATAGGTTTATTACGTCTATCTCCACAGATATGGTTAGACGGATTTAGAAGATAACATCGTTCGTACAGGAACACATCATTATCGATGAACAGTCTTGCGGTGTTTGAATTAACTAATGATTCTTTTGTACTTGTTGAATCATTCGATTTCAAATTCCAAATACAATACATTCGTTTGTGCTTGTGTCTTACTTCTTAATTCAATTGCGTTATTTCTGGGACTCTTAGTTCGTACTATAGTTCTAATAATTCGAAACATTATACTGGCGTCGCATTCATCGGAAAAGAAGCATACAGCTTATTTAGAACTCTGGCTATGTCGGAAAAGCCTATCTCGCTTCCTTATACAACTCTCAGGGAACTGCTGCTAGACTATGTTAATTATACAAATTTCGAGTACGGTAAAAGAGGGAGATCTCGTAAAATGATTCATGAAGATATAAAATTTTTTACTACATTACTACGTCATCCCGACCCAGTACATACTCAAGGCTATGCAGATAAGTCATTGAGGAGTTGCAATGCATTTCACGATGATGGGCACAAGTTTGGTCAGTGTTTGTCCTGTGGCATGTTCCACTCTTTTAATTCATGTAAATTTCGTAATTCTAAGTGCTTTAAATGTGGTGATATTGGACATATTCAGTCAGTTTGTAATGCTAATGTTCATCTTACTGCAACTAATATTAAGTCTTGTAATTCTGATTCTACTGAGTCGAGTATTCATGATGATCATTTATCTTTATCAACGATTTCAAAAGACAGTGCAGGTTCATATGGCAGTTCAGAGTTAAATGAAATCCAGAATTCTTGTGAGACAACAGTTCCTAATCAACCAACTTATCAGATTTCTCATGTTATTGTATCAAATATGGCTTTTCCTAATGATTCACATATTTCTGATGAAATTTCTTACAAATCTGAGGAAAATATGTTAAATGAACCTAGTCATGATGAAAAACCTGAGGCAGTCTTGATAGATGCTGATTTTTCTAATGATCCATTACTGTGCAATGGCATTCTTAGTAAATTTCATGAAGATGTGTCAGAAGAATCAAATTCTGATGTCATATCATATATAACCTATTTTCATAATGCATTTGATCCTTGTGAAAAACTTGTTCAATGCAAAGCACGAGTACTAAATAACCTAGATTTTGATTACAATTCAGATGACTTCATATCAACTGCTGTTTATCCTTATCACAAAAACAGTTCTAATGTTTACTGTAAACAATGTGAGAAATATGTATTAAATGAAGCCACATTATTCATAACTTGAGGATATAAAGATCCAACATAATTTCGTGAGGGAGGATAGTGTTGAAAAATCTATGGTTCGAATTCTATATATTAATGATTTCATTAGAAAACCGACATGCTGACTGTATACAATTCCAGGTGAGTCTGTTCCAATTTCGTTTGTTAATTCCAATACCAATGAGCACATTCTAGATACTACAAAGGTTTTATCCAATACAATGTCGGACATACTCAGGATGAACTTAACAAGAAGACGTACAACCGATTACAGAAACTTATACACTTATATATTTAAGCTGTGGCGGATGTGGTGTTTGAATTAACTAATAAATCTTTTGTACTTGTTGAATCATTCGATTTCAAATTCCAAATACAATACATTCGTTTGTGCTTGTGTCTTACTTCTTAATTCAATTGCGTTATTTCTGGGACTCTTAGTTCGTACTATAGTTCTAATAATTCGAAACATTATACTGGCGTCGCATTCATCGGAAAAGAAGCATACAGCTTATTTAGAACTCTGGCTATGTCGGAAAAGCCTATCTCGCTTCCTTATACAACTCTCAGGGAACTGCTGCTAGACTATGTTAATTATACAAATTTCGAGTACGGTAAAAGAGGGAGATCTCGTAAAATGATTCATGAAGATATAAAATTTTTTACTACATTACTACGTCATCCCGACCCAGTACATACTCAAGGCTATGCAGATAAGTCATTGAGGAGTTGCAATGCATTTCACGATGATGGGCACAAGTTTGGTCAGTGTTTGTCCTGTGGCATGTTCCACTCTTTGAATTCATGTAAATTTCGTAATTCTAAGTGCTTTAAATGTGGTGATATTGGACATATTCAGTCAGTTTGTAATGCTAATGTTCATCTTACTGCAACTAATATTAAGTCTTGTAATTCTGATTCTACTGAGTCGAGTATTCATGATGATCATTTATCTTTATCAACGATTTCAAAAGACAGTGCAGGTTCATATGGCAGTTCAGAGTTAAATGAAATCCAGAATTCTTGTGAGACAACAGTTCCTAATCAACCAACTTATCAGATTTCTCATGTTATTGTATCAAATATGGCTTTTCCTAATGATTCACATATTTCTGATGAAATTTCTTACAAATCTGAGGAAAATATGTTAAATGAACCTAGTCATGATGAAAAACCTGAGGCAGTCTTGATAGATGCTGATTTTTCTAATGATCCATTACTGTGCAATGGCATTCTTAGTAAATTTCATGAAGATGTGTCAGAAGAATCAAATTCTGATGTCATATCATATATAACCTATTTTCATAATGCATTTGATCCTTGTGAAAAACTTGTTCAATGCAAAGCACGAGTACTAAATAACCTAGATTTTGATTACAATTCAGATGACTTCATATCAACTGCTGTTTATCCTTATCACAAAAACAGTTCTAATGTTTACTGTAAACAATGTGAGAAATATGTATTAAATGAAGCCACATTATTCATAACTTGAGGATATAAAGATCCAACATAATTTCGTGAGGGAGGATAGTGTTGAAAAATCTATGGTTCGAATTCTATATATTAATGATTTCATTAGAAAACCGACATGCTGACTGTATACAATTCCAGGTGAGTCTGTTCCAATTTCGTTTGTTAATTCCAATACCAATGAGCACATTCTAGATACTACAAAGGTTTTATCCAATACAATGTCGGACATACTCAGGATGAACTTAACAAGAAGACGTACAACCGATTACAGAAACTTATACACTTATATATTTAAGCTGTGGCGGATGTGGTGTTTGAATTAACTAATAAATCTTTTGTACTTGTTGAATCATTCGATTTCAAATTCCAAATACAATACATTCGTTTGTGCTTGTGTCTTACTTCTTAATTCAATTGCGTTATTTCTGGGACTCTTAGTTCGTACTATAGTTCTAATAATTCGAAACATTATACTGGCGTCGCATTCATCGGAAAAGAAGCATACAGCTTATTTAGAACTCTGGCTATGTCGGAAAAGCCTATCTCGCTTCCTTATACAACTCTCAGGGAACTGCTGCTAGACTATGTTAATTATACAAATTTCGAGTGCGGTAAAAGAGGGAGATCTCGTAAAATGATTCATGAGGATATAAAATATTCTACTACATTACTACGTCATCCCGACCCAGTACATACTCAAGGCTATGCAGATAATTCATTGAGGAATTGCAATGCATTTCACGATGATGGGCACAAGTTTGGTCAGTGTTTGTCCTGTGGCATGTTCCACTCTTTGAATTCATGTAAATTTCGTAATTCTAAGTGCTTTAAATGTGGTGATATTGGACATATTCAGTCAGTTTGTAATGCTAATGTTCATCTTACTGCAACTAATATTAAGTCTTGTAATTCTGATTCTACTGAGTCGAGTATTCATGATGATCATTTATCTTTATCAACGATTTCAAAAGACAGTGCAGGTTCATATGGCAGTTCAGAGTTAAATGAAATCCAGAATTCTTGTGAGACAACAGTTCCTAATCAACCAACTTATCAGATTTCTCATGTTATTGTATCAAATATGGCTTTTCCTAATGATTCACATATTTCTGATGAAATTTCTTACAAATCTGAGGAAAATATGTTAAATGAACCTAGTCATGATGAAAAACCTGAGGCAGTCTTGATAGATGCTGATTTTTCTAATGATCCATTACTGTGCAATGGCATTCTTAGTAAATTTCATGAAGATGTGTCAGAAGAATCAAATTCTGATGTCATATCATATATAACCTATTTTCATAATGCATTTGATCCTTGTGAAAAACTTGTTCAATGCAAAGCACGAGTACTAAATAACCTAGATTTTGATTACAATTCAGATGACTTCATATCAACTGCTGTTTACCCTTATCACAAAAACAGTTCTAATGTTTACTGTAAACAATGTGAGAAATATGTATTAAATGAAGCCACATTATTCATAACTTGAGGATATAAAGATCCAACATAATTTCGTGAGGGAGGATAGTGTTGAAAAATCTATGGTTCGAATTCTATATATTAATGATTTCATTAGAAAACCGACATGCTGACTGTATACAATTCCAGGTGAGTCTGTTCCAATTTCGTTTGTTAATTCCAATACCAATGAGCACATTCTAGATACTACAAAGGTTTTATCCAATACAATGTCGGACATACTCAGGATGAACTTAACAAGAAGACGTACAACCGATTACAGACACTTATACACTTATATATTTAAGCTGTGGCGGATGTGGTGTTTGAATTAACTAATGATTCTTTTGTACTTGTTGAATCATTCGATTTCAAATTCCAAGTACAATACATTCGTTTGTGCTTGTATCGTAATTCTTGATTCAATTGCGTTAATTCTAGGATTCCTAGTTCAAACTACAATTCAAATAATTCAAATATTATAAGTCTTTACTTGGCTTGAACACATCATGTACTTCTAACGTCCTTCTAAATCTATTCGTGTTAGGGACTGTCACTTGACGATTCAGTCAAGATTACTTAGTTGAATATTGCACATAATCATCTCATCTACTTCAATTCTACTTATCTAATATGCGTTTTCTCACAAGAAATATTCTTTAAAAAAACAACACTGAAATAGTAGTGCAAAGCATCTGAATATTTCTGATGACCTCAGTTGTTTGTAGAAATTTCAATGATTATACTTTCTCTTCATCGATCACCTCATTATATTTAATTATTCAAATAATATGGTATTCTCTATTGTGTAGTGGGCGTGATATGAATCTTAATTAGGATGAAGAATATCACTTTTTAATAATGTGTTTATGTGACTGACAGTCATCTACTCACACAGAACAGAGATGAATGGAATTCTCATTTTACAAAATATTACTGCTTTTGTGAAAAGCAAGCAAATTGCAAACAAATATTTTGTCAGTCAATTGATAGTTAGTCTTGCTTCAGCTATGGATAAACACTGTAACCATTTACTATCTAATTCCGAATTAGTCTAGTGATCGTGATAATGTCACAGGTATTTAGTGTTTGACAACGCTTTTACCAGTAACACCTAATATAATTCGTTCCCACCCAGAGAAATCAAAAGACGGAGTCGGGGAGATCGGAAGAGTGTATTTGGCGATTACCAATATATCGGATTTCTCTGATCCAATCTGGCTAGCAATTGCGGTAGATGTTGAGCACGGCGTTACCACACGTGATCTGGTTCGGATGCATGACCGAGCGACTTCAGCTAGATGAGTCCACTAAAACATATGGTCAGCATCCAATGTCGAAAACTTAGAGCTATTTATTTTGGGGATTTATTTACCGCTACAGATCACTCCCCCCCCCTAGTGGGGCAGTGACGACCCTAAGACGTGGCTAGCCAGAAGTTTAAACCCAACGAGTTTGTCGTTGGTAAACACTCTTCTGATAGCTTACTAAGTGTAGCAGCGTCTGGTCGTCTTTCCTTACTATATGGGACCGAGGTACAACATAGTTACAACGAAAATTTCGACTCCTCGTAAACTGCATCGTACTTTTCCAGCCGTCCTGGAAAAGAAAAAAGAAAGTGTAAGTGCATGTCGAAATACGCTCGTATGTGCGTAAAAACACAATGTCGGCGAAAAAATGGAAAGTATACTCAGGCACACG